CAAGTGCAATACTAGTAGCCTGGGTGTTGCTCATGCAGAGGGCACGGCTGTCGATCTTGCAAGGCGGCGACAACGGCGTTCCGACGAGGGATCCATGACCGCCGCCGTCGTAGTTGACTCGCGATGACTCAGAGGCATGACATGCAACCAGCGACTGTTGACGACCCCGGAGGCGGGGAGACGCGTGGAGAATGCAGGCATTTTCACCAGTCGTTTTATATTCGCGGATCTACCAAAAAAAGCCATCACGCCATTGAGCAACACTAAGCGCACGTGACTGGCCGCAAGAAAGAATGTTGCCGACAAGTTTGTAGTTCTAAACCAATTGTTAAGATTCGTGGGAACGGGCGACCACATTACTGTGCAACCGCCCAGCGACAAAATACGCCTTTGGACTTCTTATTTGAATAAAATATCACCAAATCTTAGCCAAATTCCTGATTATAATTGGTTCATGGCATTTAAGGCGCACGCCGCAAATATAAAACATGATGCGCACAAATGCTTTCAACAGCTCCGACGAAGTTGACGGGCGCAAATAGAAGTTTGAAAGAAAATGACACTCTGACAGCAGCCAAATGACACTTTGATAACATCTGAAAAACGATAGCCCCGTCCGATCCACATCACCTATCTTGATAACGGTATTTGATGTTGTTCTTAAAAACGGCCGCTGCCGGTTGCAACGAGCGATTTCCATCAGACGGCCGACCCCAGCCCAGACCATGACGCTGCCTTCGGCGGCGCCTGGTCCAGTCCGGAGGGAGGGGTCGGTCTGTCTGCTCGGCGGTCCGCGTGGCCGGTCCGGCTGGCGCGGCTGACAGGATGCCTCTCCACCGCAGAGCTGTGATAGCCGCCGCCGCCGCCGCTGGCCCCTGACCTCATGCAACGCCGCCGCCGACCGCCCGGCCGGGAGGTCACGAGGTCAAGCGCCCGCGGCGGTCCACCCCGGACAGGGGTGACGGGGAGGAAGGGGTGGCACAAGGCGACCTGGGTCAGGCCAGGTTTTGATCAGAGTGAGGTAACGAAACAAGCACCCCGCCCTAGCTAGACAACCCCGTGATAGATGTGATCAGCCGTGATCTGCATTCACAGCAGCTGGTCTGTGGGAGAGGTCAGTCATGGCAAGGTGAAATCTGGCACGCGGGGATGCCAGCTTAAACGACACGCGACCGCGGCATTGCAGTTGTGGAAGTCAACAACGCGCTACCTGTTGTCGCGTCCGTTTCAGGCTTTGGGGACTTTTTAGCAAGCAATAAAACCAGTGGGCATAACCAACCCAGACAGTGACTGAAAACGTGTTCAGAAAATTTCCCCATTCACGCCTGCAGGTCGGTGCTCTGCAGCCACAACGCTCCTCACACTGAGGAGCCAGACCACTGCAAGCCGCGACATGTCCCGGATTCTGTCATCACAACAGTGCAGCGCCGGAGGAGTCGAGTCGGGCCGAGGCACCATTGAGAACTGCGCGGTACGCCGGCTGGCTGGCGCGGCACGGCTCCCGTCAGGCATGCCTCTCATCCCTCACCGCTCTCACCGCCGTACGGGTGACGAGCCGGCCCTCCAGGGGCGTCACCGAGCCACGCAGCTCGCTAGGCTGCGGGCTGGCGGCGGCCCAGCCAGCGATGAACGCTACCGTGCAAATAGGAGCCGAGCGAGCATGGGGCTATGGCGTTCCGCTGAATTCTTCTTTCCTAGTCAAGAATAAAGCGCGACCGGCCGATGACATACTAATGGTGTTTTAGGCCACTCTGATGCCGTCATTTTGTGGACGCGATACTCCGTCATTGCCACAGCCATCGGCGCCTTGTTGATCACCCTGCCATTTCGCCGACATCCAGTGCCTCAGGCGATCAGCCTCCATCGCAGACGGCTCGGAAGAAAACGAAGCGAATTTGACGGATCGTTTGGAATTACGTCACGTACACCTGTGTTCGTAACCTCAGGATTTGCGTTGGAAGATGACCAGGGAAACAGTGGTCCGCGTGCCACAGAGTTCCAAGGAAAACTACGCTAACACTACATTGGCCAGGCGATCCGCTGCATCACCGGCAATCGCTGCGAAGTGCTTCGAGGAACGCAGATTCGGCAAAAGCAATGCAGCTGTAATGGCCGCAATGAAAGGCACATGAGCCTTCCTCGAACATGACATCACCACCTCGGCCGGCCAAAACGTACCAGCCTAGACTTTGAACGCCGAACATCAGCAGTGGAAACACCTGCTCCCCAGAAGGTCAACTGTTGGAAGTGACCCGGTGACCTGTTGCGGAGCCGCTCGTGCCAGACGGTCGGCGATGCCTCTAATCTGGCCGGGATTTCAGCGACAGGACGCTGTCTGATCGTACCCCCCGCGTGAACCATCGCTCGTTTGGCCACCTGCCCGCATTCCGAGCCGTTTGTCCCAGCCGCCCACGCCAGGGAGTGGTCGCAAGAGGGGAGGGGTAGCAATCACAGACGACGGTCGTCCGACGCCACCACCTCGGCGGGTGGGGCTTGGCACCGGCCGGGTCGTGCCGCAGTCACCAGTGCAGGGAACGGCCAACAGGCGGCTGATTTAGTGGATCGGGGGGGGGGGGGGGCGGAGGGGGGGAGGGGACTGTATTGCAAACACTGCCATCCGCATGGCTTTCACCTTACATTGAGGTGGAGAGATGTGGCCCCGCACCTGCGTGTCTTGGCCCGTAGTCTAGAGGGGGGATGGCCAGGCCAGCTGTTTCAGCGCAGCCGACGGGTGAGGACGCGGCAGACGGCACCCAGATTCGCCGGCGGGCTCATCGGCACGTCCAGTCAGGAGTCAGCTCGGCCGCTCGGTCGGAGGGATCCAATAAGACGCAAGTCAGGAACTACGTAAGTTGTTCAGTGCCTTTGTGGGCAACATTATTGACATACACAGATCAGTAGTAATAGCCTCATTCCTCGGTGAAAAATTAGGGCTTTATCTCCATTCTTCTGGTATTTCTCCGAGGAATAAGGCTATTACAACTGCCTTATGCATGTAAGTCAGGAACTGTGCAGGTTTCAGTGCAGGTCGCGCGGATCCTTAAATGCAGGGGGGGGGGGCATAACCGTCCGGGATGGCGTACCCCCCCCCCCCCGTAGAGGGACAAGACCTGTACCGCAACTTTCCCGGTGCCTGAGTAATGTGATCATATTTTGCTCCAGCCTAAGATCACTAGAGCCATGGAGCAGGCAGGTTCTTATTCTCCAGCGGGACGAAATTAATGATGAAATCATTGCGCATCATGTATGTTAATGCTGATTCACAGACTTTGATCAGGCGCCCGCGGCTAAGGCCGTCCTGCATACCAGTTCAAAGTTCGCTAAATCGGAGGTCACAGGACTGCGCAAGTCAGCATCCTGAAGTCACCAGCAGCCTTCTGGCGTGGGTGTAACCATGATTCACGCATTGGGGAGACAGAGTATGATTGAGAGATGACTCAAAACAGTGCTTTGAATGAAATGCCAAACGCGTGCGATGCGACCAAAAATAGCGAGGACAAAAGACGGGGGGGGGGGGAGGCACATCTCTCTGACCCCCTCCAGCGATTTCACCCATGTGAACCCACGGGTCAGGTCGTCTCACACCGGCGGCCGGGTGGCTCCCGCGAGGCACAGAGGCGTGCCGCGGCCCGCCGGCCGGCTGCGGCGTGGCGGCTTCCTCGGCGAGCGCCGCAGCGCCGGCGACTTCCGCACCTGTGCCTGCGCCGACAGCGACGGACGGGCGGATGTGGGCGGGCGGACGGCACCGGCGTGAGCCACGAAAGGGACGCCCTCGGGGCACCCGTGACATGTCCCCGGGGCACCCGTGACACGCCCGCTCTCAGCAGTGCGGCCGCACGGGTGAGCTTCGCCGAACTCGCGCGGGCTTGTGAGCAGGCCAACTGCAAGCGGATCGAAAGGAACAAAGATGCTGACGACGGATCATTGACAAGGACACGATGGTCTGTGCGCAGCAGGCCTCAATACGGATGTGTTGAGTTGTTTGGGAGGGGAGGACTCCCACCAGACGCGGAGCCTTGCCGTCTGGTGCAGTGCGGCGAGGCGGACCACCGCGCAATAACCGGCGGCATGGATACCAGACGGTTAAATCGATGACAATCCTTTATCGGTGTGCATGAGCCAGACTTTGGTCTCTCTCTAACCCGCATTACCCCACCTTCTGCACACGACACGACGAAGTGCCGGCCGGCCGCGACTGGTCGGACCAGGCTTGACCTTGCCCCTCCCCCCAGAGGGCCGTACCCGGAGTCGGCTTCGACCCCAGCCTATCCGCTGGACACTGTAAATAAACGACAAGGCTGGGCGGCGGCGGCGGCGGCGGCGGCCGGGCTGGCGTCCGGCCGGCATTGTTCGGTGCGAAGGGGCGACGACGGCTGGCCGGCAGCCAGACCGACTGAGCGAGACGACCTGCTCCTCCCCCGCCTCGCCCCTCCTGTCAGCACCAGCCTCATCATCAGCCAGCCAGTGTGTCCCTGAACTGGGCCAAGGTGGACCCGTCCGCGTACGACTGCAGAACGCCGTTCAAACTAGGCCGAGCTGTCCGAGCTCAATACGGTAGTGATACTGGCAGACGAAATGTCCTGGGTTAACTTGTCAGCGCGGTGAATTTCCACTGGCTTGGCATCCAACACCTTCAGTCGCATGACGCTAATCGCCTGGGCTGTTGAATGCGGTGCCAAGTAACATATTTCACAACGACCAGTGCAACGATCCAGCGCTCCGTCAGCCACGCTCGTCTACACATCCCACATCCGCCGAATTCGGGGAAGGGGAGGACACGGAGGCGATCTGTTCAAGGAAGAGCGGCCAGACGCGCATGTAAGCGATGCGCGGCCGGAAGATAAACACGCCCGGGCTTAGCTCCAACCGCCCCCGCCCCCGCCCCCGCCGTCGCCGTCACCGACACCCTGCCAAAGCCGCGTCTCCGCACAGGTACCAGCGCCGCGCCACGAGGAGGGGCCGGCTGGCGGCGGGCATGAGCGGGAGGCGACAACACTTACTGCAGCACGTCGTCGGGCAGCCGGCGCCGCTGGCCGGGCGCCTCCACCGCCGCCGGACCGCAGCCCAGCCGCCGGTCCGGGGTCAAGTACCAGGCCGGCGACTGGTCCTCCATGGTGAACGCCACGCCAGAGTCGGCCATCACCGGCGCTCACGAGCCGCCTGCGTCGCCGCTGCGCGCTGACCGGCACTGGACGCGGGCGACGGGCCGCTCGGCCATCCTCTCGAGCGGCGGGGTGAGTCAGCCGGCCAGCCGCTGCCCTCTGGCGGCTGGCCGGCGCACAGGCTCAGGGCCGTGTCCGGTACCAGCGGCCCCCTGGGCCGAGCGTGGCGCGAGGGGAGGGGGTGTCCGGGTGGGATCGTGTTCCCCAGGTGTCAGGCTGCGAAGCCCGGCGCAGCTACAACCGCCGACACGGCAGGCGAGCGGATGCCGACGGCGGCGTAGCTCGACGCGGTTCTGAGCGACAGACGTGACGCCCGAGGGACAGTCCCCGACAGCGCGCAGTTATCAACAGCTGAGTCTAGGCAGTCAAACCGCGCAGTGTTAACTACACTACCAATCTGTCTGCTCAGCTTTACGGTGCTCGTTGACGTCGCCATGCATCGTCCGTGTGGGTCGAAAAAAGCACAAGCTTCACCTCGAAACACTCCAGATATATTTGGTTAAAATCAGTACGGACACCTACAGATCTTCCCACCGTGGAATGATTTCCGCCAGAGCCGCCGGCTCGCAACAATAAATACCAGGCCTCCGGGGCCTCCGTCGCCGTAGTCGGCAGCCGTACGCCGGTGGCACTACCGACGGAGACCACGCAGTTCGAACGGGCGGGGGCGGGCGGCGGCCGGCGCCTCACGGAGCCTGGCCGGCGCGCCAGACACGCAGCTCGCTCTCCAGCTGCGGAGCACGCGACGGTGCGCCGGACACGCGGCTCGCTCTCCGGCTGCGGGGTTCGCGGGTGCGGGTGCACGGACGGGCGCGTTCACTGGGTGCGCAGCTGGTAGTCGCCGTTCTGGGTGATGTAGCGCACCCACGGCAGCGCCTGGTAACCGCTCTTTTCGATGATCTTCAGGTACCGCACCTGCAGCGGGCGGTGACGCCGGGTCAGAGGCATGTAAACCCAGGTCCGGCTTCGAAACAGCAGGCAGCAGCGCTACACCGCGGCTCAGAGCGGGCGGCCACCTAAGATGCACTGGAGGCTGGCCGCTTACATACGCAGCGGGTCTGGATGATTTGTTTGAGTAGAGATTATACCGGAAACGTCTGACGACCATCTTGGAAACGCAGCTGTGGACAAACAGGCCTACAACGCATAATTGCCTGCACTTGCTCATTCGCGCCAGTCATTTGCAACGCGTAGTTAAATAGGCAGACACGCTTTCCACAGTGACTTAGCACACTGCATTGTTTCACTAGTCTGCGGGCAACGACGCAGGCAAGGCCTGCTCGGCCACCGACTGCTCTGCCGCCCACCCGCTGCTTAAAATCTGGAATACTGTTCTCATTCCGCGGGCGGAATGGGTTCATGGTGAGCACGAGCTCCAGTTACGACCGACAACTGCATCATACAGGACGGGCAACGGGAACAACCGCTTATGAGCTTATGAACACGTTGGAGACACACCAATGTACTCAGACGCGCACATGGACGGAGCGGGATAAAGCACTATTAAAATTTGCATCTGACGAGTCGCATGGAACTGACTGCCTGAAAATGAGCACGGCGTTGGTTTTCACACAAATTACTTGAACCCTTGCCTAAAGCACCGCCCGCTACTCACTGCATTCACATGGGGTGCGCATTGCGCAAGTGACCTCTATAACACCCTGGTTGCGGGCAGACCACTTGCATGTATTCATGATGATACGGAAATGTTCTTCCTGGTCATAGCTCGCAGAAGGACGCATGTTATGAAAAACCGTTATCGTGATCAATTTAAAGCGCCCACTACCCCTAGTAACTCATTACTGGACTTGTTTCTACCTTTGCCGGCATTGAGATATCTATAAATTGCGTCTTCAAATCAATGACTGGCAAAACCCGACAATGATGAACAGTAAACGCACAAGTGATCCGTCAATTTTGGCTTTATTCGTCTGGTGCTACGGCCATGTCAGCCATGGGCCTGGCAGAGCATTCCTGACCGTCAAGTTACGGGGAAGACAAAAAGCACAGGGCTTCGCATCATGCAATTGACAGTAAGCATGAGCGTGCGGGGCGGACACGGTACACGGATTAGGTCATGCCTCATTCAAAACGTTGTATGTGTCACGAGATGATTCAACAAACTGTCCGTTCTATGTCACAGGGCTATGATCAATGAGGATAGCGGTGAAGGGTTCCCTCCGCAAGTGGGAAACGCCGCCTCACCCACTGCTTGAAAACCAACTTCCTCCAAAGCCGGTTTCTCAGCCAGCTCTAACCGCAAACACCCCCCCCCCCCCACACACACACCCTCCCCCCTCCCCCCACCCACACACTCCCATACACCCACCACACCCACACCCACACCCACACCCACCCACACCCACACACCAACAGCGTGATTCACAATAAGCTTTCTGTCAGTCTCACAATTCTCACGCTGGACCCCGATAGTTGATCACGACTGAAATCATTGACTGTACATCAATTCATCCATTACACGTTCAGTCTAAGTGCGGGAGAGCGGCGAAGACCGAAGGCTCGGGGAGATCACCCAGCGACGCGATTTTGCGCCCGGCACAGTCCAATATCAACACAGTTGTCGGGCTGCATCATTTGTAGATATCATTTCAGCAAGAGCACATGTCTGGCTCACTCGCGACTCCGGCACGCCGCCGCGAGCACAGCCCCAGCCGGCCGGCCAGCAGTGACGGCGCCGGCCGGCTGGCACCACGGGGCGCGCCACAGCCGGGGTCAACGCCTCCGCCGCCGTGCCCGTCTGCTAATGAACGGGGCAGGGGGCGGACGAGGGTATACACTCAGGACCCGCCCGGTGCTGGGAGGCGGAGGGGGACGTGACGAGCTGGCGGTGCAGCATCAGCCTGACACCGTGCGTGGGTGAGCACTGTCTGGTGCTGTGGACGGGACGAGACGGCCTGGGATCGCGCCAGAGGCCGGACACAGCGATAGCACGCAGGGGGAGGAGCAGAGACCTACGCTGCAGTAAACAACCCGCTCTGCGCCCGTCGGGGGGGGGGGGACAGTGGATGGGTTTGCAACAGTCACCGCCCGGTTAAGGTAGGTACAGTCAGGAAATAAACGTTTCCTGCGGCGCACGCTCGACTCTACAATTGGGGGGGGGGGGGGGGGGGGAGAGGATTCCCCTACACAGCACGTCAGAAAGGATTGATAAGCGATCGGGAGGATTATGAAATCAAAAACAAAATTACTGGCAATCTAATCGGAAAACATCGAACGCATATGATAGAATGCCAAACGACGACAAGAAACAGTGACAAAATATCGACAGGATGAATTTAGACATGATTAACTATCAAAACTCAAATGCAACATGATGCAATGCAACAAATCGACAGTCGGTCTTCAGACATGAAACTGCAGACGAAAAACAATCGAGTGGCAAAGGATGGGGGAGTAATATTTGAGAGTGACAAATCAAAATTGAGAACGAAGTGAACTCATGGTAGGTAGGCGTCAATAATAAAATGGAAAGCGATCTACTGACAGCCATCGCCAGGGAACCCAGGCGAAATGCGAGATTCACACCGCATTCGATAACGGCACGTCGGACAAAGACATACGTAGGCGAAATGTACGGATCACATCATAACCGTTAACAATGTGACATGACACGAAATGCGTGACAAACAGCGTTTCATCCACACCCGCTCAGGTGGATCCAAGCAGTAGTACCGGCCTACCCAGGGAGTTGAAAACAGACTGAACCCATTTGTTTTTAGGCTTGGCTTTCTACCAATTCATATATCTGAAACTGGGGCATCGAGCGCAAACGCAAAACATATCTTATTTTGGAGCAAGAATATCGCATGATTAATTTAATGTGTATCGTTTTATCCTACTCTCGTTCCTTTCCTGAGGAATTTTGTAATTTTCTATTTTTGGGCGTCGATATTTGTCCGTTCACCATGGGTACACTTCATCGTTATGCACTTCGCCATGTACCAGCCGATAATTTGTGATTCGCTCACGCTGAATTTCGTCCACCGTCCGCACCAATACGTCTTCCTAGCCGAAGAGGGAAAGGGGAGGGGAGGGGATGGCGGGAGACCGCCACACGACCACGCTTGTTCGCCGAGGCCCGGCGGCGAAAAACATCCGGGGTCACCAGCGGTGTTGTATGCAGCGGCGCCGGCGCAGCGCTGCGCAGTGGACCCGAACAACCGACCCGCCTCTTACTGGGGAGGGGCCAGGGCGGTCCGGCGTCCCGCGGCGGTACACAGAACGCCGTGAGAAAACAGCCTGCACCACAGGCTCGCGGGCACGCCAAACGCAGAACGCAGAGAAACGGCACAAGAAATCGAGACACGGTCACTGGCATGTGTGGAAGATGACACGCGTGCATATACCCATCCTTGTAACCAAAAGGAGAAGCTCAAACGCATACAAATCGGCAAACAACACCCTATTAAGTCCACGGCCAATGCAGAACGAAAAGCTCGCAAGATCCCGTGGCCGTCCCTCAGGAACGATCAGAGTCCAGTTTGGCAGGAGTCGGGGCTCATGTAGCCTAGTTTGGCGGGAATCGGAGACCAGAGAGTCCAGTCTGGTGGGAATCAGGGCTCAGAGAGTGCAGTTTGGCGGAAATTAGAGCTCAGAGAGTCCAGTTTGGTGGGCGTCGGGCGGGCTGCGGACGCACCTGTATGCCGGAGGTGGTGAAGTACGGGATCTCGAACCGGACGTTGATGGGCGGCTTTCCGTCCACATCCTCGGCCACCACGCTGGGCAGGCCGAAGTGGGCCCGCATCAGGTACTCCTTACCGCCCTGGAAACGCGCCACGTGACCTCAGCGGGGCAAAACAGGCAACGCCTCCCTGGGAGCACGCTCGCTATCTCCGGCACGGACGGCGAGGCAACACGCTTGGAGAAACAGGGGAGACCACCACATCCTGGACACACGCAGCGTTATCGGCACGAACGCCTCGGGCGCACGCCTGGCGCGACCAGCACGTCGAAGCGAGGCCACCCCGGGGAGGTATCGCCATGTTTATA